TTGTGGGTAATAATTGAATTCTAGTCCTTGGGCGGGGTCGCCAAATCTCCACTGCTGAGCTTCGGATTTGGCGTGCATGCCGGGGATGCTGAAGCCATGATGTCGATGGGCTGGGTCTCCAACTGCAACAGATCAAGCTAAAGTTTTAAAGAAGAGCAGTTGACATGTGTGGTGTATGCTCTTGCTACAAGAGAAGGCCACTCGATTATAGGACTCCCCATGCACATCTTAATAGTGCGAAGCAAAGACTGTGCGTGCCTCGCTCGGGTCGCAGGTGCTGGCTCGCGATCGCTTCACAGACGAGGCCAAACCTTATTTGCCCAGTTATGCTAGCTGATGAACTGGATGCCACACACAAGCATAAAGATCAACCGAAGGGCTCGATTTGTTCGATGTCGCGGGGGAGGTCGATGGAGATTTTCGCTTTCCATTACCGGACCTGAGGTAGGATTAATCTAGAGGGCAGGGTGCTACATGTAATTGGTTTTAACACAATATGCAGCTGCAAGTGAAGTGATCAGTGTAAGTTTCGGGCAATTCGAGGGCCTTGATCTTAAGCCGAATCGCATCCAGCTCCTTTTTCTCCTTAGATTCCCAAGAACCCAAGTAAAGGATGTCCTCGGTCTCCTCCTTTGACTTTCTGCTGATTCGCCTCACTGGCTCAGGCACCTCCAAAGCCTTCTTAGGCACATCCACTACAGGATCATCCTGCAGCTCTTCTTCTTCTTCTCCCTCCTCACATACCTGCTCCTCCTCCTTCTCCTCATTCATATCCTCTACTTTCTCTTCTCTCTCTTTTCTCTCTTGGATATTCTTGCAGCAACCTCTGAGCACTCGTTTGGGTGGCGGCAACGTCTCCCGATAATGTCGAATCAGCTTGAAGAGCTTCTTCACACCATCGCCCTAGGTCTTGATAGGCTCACAGAACCATGATTATCTCAAGAATGGTTTGGCAAGCAAGCTGTGAACTGCCCTCTTAGTTAAGGCGAGAATCTGTTGGGGTTTGCCCCCTCTTGAAAGCATCAGCTTCACGACGAAGTGCATAAGAAAACAGCTTCCTGAGCCCCCAGGAGTCCTTGTAGAGACGAGCAGCAGTAACCTCCCACTCCAT